ACAACCGATCTGAACAGATATGGCGGAATTAGCGTGTGAAGTGAGCGGTGAGTAAGGGAAAGTTGTTTTAGATGAGAAGTACCAAGGTGGGAAATAATTTCAAAGAGTGTTTCGGTAGGAAGTGTAAGGAGTGACGATCCTGGCATCGCGATTACTTTTCGTTTTGTCGTTTTGCCAGATTCTGAGTGCATATGTACATACGTCAAAGATTGTGGATATCTGTTCGAGTGATAATGCTCTAGAAATATGTTGTGCTTCCCTATAATCACATTTTTCATGGAAAAATGAGCAAATGCGATTAATGTGATTATCAAGAAATAAATGTGATTCTAACGGAAATCATGTTACTTTAAAAAATTACCTCATCCACCCACCCCAGTCTTACTAAAAATAATTCAATAATTTATGCTTAATGATAATGAAAGATACAATAGCTTAATAAAAAAATATTTAAAAAGTATATTTATTAGTAAATTGGAAAGTGTTTAAGTACATGGATAATTTTAATGACATACAGTATACTAATCATTTAATCATACATCATATTTATTATTTATCATTGATTTATTCATAATTTTAAAATGTATTTTATATAAAGTCAACTTGTAAGTTTGATTAATATTATTTATTTTATTTTATTTTTTTAATGTATAAATGCGTCAATTAACATTTGAACACTGACGCTTTGTTGTTACCAGAAATACGTAAATGATAACATCGTTAGTTCTCTAGGAATCTTCTTACCTTCCTTGAAGAATTGTATGCTCGAAGCTAATCACGTGATGTATATTACCAGTTACCAGGATTAAAAATTTATAAGGATAACCGTTTTTCGTATATCCGTGTACTACCCCAACAAGTTTGATATGGTAAAAATACCTGATATTGGTCCGCAGCATATCGATAATTGATAATTTTTGAACTCCGTTAGAATATAGAAAAACTTCTCACATTCCCACCTCAATTTCTTACCGAGAAAATGCCAAAGAAAACGTTCGAAAAATTGACGCCGGCCAGACGTTCAAACCGACTCGAACTGAAACGCATCAAAAGGAATGCAGTTCAATTGATACCCTTTGATGAGTCGTCAGGCAACCCGGGTAACACTTT